GATCGCCCCAAGGCGGCCCCGAGAGGCCCCCAAGATAGCCTCCGAAGGGGCCGAACGGCGCAAGAGCGCCCCAAGACGGCACAAGACGCTCCCAAGAAGCCCCAAGAGGCCCCCAAGAGGCCCCCAAGAGGCCCCCCAAAGGCCCCCCAAAGGCTCCCCAAAGGCCCCCAAGAAGCCTCCACGAGGCCCCAAGCAACCACCCAAGACGGTTCAACACACCCCCAAGAGACCTCCAGGAATTTCGCAGAGGCCCCCATGGGAGTCCCCAGCAGGCCCCCAAGAAGCCCCCAGGAGTTCCCAAGAGTGGCTCCAGAGGTCTCCAAAGAACTGGACTGGACATACTCCGAGCAGCTCCAAGAGGCCCTCCAGAGGCCCCAGTGGCGTTGGCAGCGCCCCAGTTCGGGCAAACATGCAGAGGCTGGCCGAATGCCACCGGAGGCTGCCCGAAGCAAACGCGGCGGCGGGTGGCATTGAACATTGAATGTTGGCCCGTTTATGGAGGCCATCACCGAAATACCCAAACCAAAACGCGCCTCGGACCGTGCAATTATCTTCGCGATCTCGCGCCGCTTCATTGATTGAGAAGAACAGGTCTTCCGCCCGGGCCGCGACGCGCGAAGCACGACTACGTTTGCGCCCGTGCGGATGCCCCGAGGGTGTCCGCAACTCCCCGGGCGTCCCACATCGCGCTTAGCTCTCTGCCTGACGACGACTCGCTTTGACTGAGGTGTCACGGGGCAAGAGGTTGCCACCTTCATGAGAGATAGAGTAAGACACTGAATCTTAGAAAAGAACTGTATCTTCCTCTTCCTCCCGTATAGAGAGAAAAAGAAAGAAGAGGAATGGAAAAGGACGGGAGGGGTTGAGGGTTCGCGGAGGATTAGGGGAGGTTCGGGGCGTTTGTGGTGGCTCTAGGGTGAGTAAGGTGGAGAAGGAGGGAGGAGCCTGAGGGAGTTCAAGTAGTTTCTGAAATGCTGCATGGGATTCCAGGGGGCTCTTCGAGGATCTAAGAATTTCAGCAGAATCCACCTTTACTGTCTGCGATGTCTGAGGGAAGCTCATGAGAAATATCTGGGAGAAGATCTGGGGCAAGATCTGGGGTGAAATCTGGGGACAGATTTGGCAGGAGATCTGGAGGAAGATCGGAAAGGGGGGGGAGGAACATCTGGGAGAACCTTTGGGCGCATATCTGGAAGAAAATCTGGATGACAATCTGGGGAAATTCTGCGGGAATGCATGATGAGCGATCCGGGAGTAGATCTGGGGGAAGATCTGGGGGAAGATCTGGAAGAAGATCTGGGGGAAGATCTGGGGGAAATTCTGAGGGAAGATCCAGGAGAAGATCTGAGGTTCACCTGGGGGACAATCTGGGGAAAAATCCGAGGTGGATCCAAGGAATGATCTAGAGGAAGATCTGAGGGAAGATCTCGAGGAAGATCTGTGGAAGGATCTGGAAGAAGGATCTGGAGGGAGGTGTGAGGGAAGATCTGGGGGAAGATCTGGAGGAAGATCTGGGAGATCATGTGGGGAAGAATCTGGGTGAAGATCTGGGGGAAGATCTTGGGGAAGAACCGGGGGGAGATCTTGGGGAAGATCTGGGGCAAGATCAAAAGGAAGGTCTGGGGGAGATCTGGGGCGAGATCCGAGAGGGATCTGGGGAAAGATCTGGGGGGGAGATCTGGGGGAAGATCTGGGGAAGATCTGGAGGAAGATCTGGGGGAGATCGTATGACATACCTGAATGGGGGTTGTACGTGGAGGACGACCTGAGAGATTACTGGGAGAGACTGTGGGGAAAACCTGACGCAATCTTAGAAGTAGGTTTTTGAGGTCCCGTGCGACGACCTCGCGACATGAACCAAACCAATGGTTTTAAAGACATGATTGGTGACTGGGTCCTCGAAACAGATGCTGGGCATGCCGACCTACTTGCTTGAACTCTTGGGGGGAGGTCCAAAAGATATCCGGGGAAACAACACACCGACTAGGTAACATGCGCGACGAAACTGGAGGAGGGGGCATGCCGACGGCCGTGAACTGGGCATCTAGGAGGAGACTTGGGTCAACAAACGCTGACAACTGACCAGATTTAACGGCGAAAACGAGCGACGCGCGTCGTGCGTAGTGCGACGAAGTTGTGGGAACAGAACGGGTGCCCAAGCAGAACATGGGCACCTCGTGCGCGCGCGAAAACAAAATGCAAAACGAACGTGCGGCGCATGCCCGCGCCAGAACAACACTCCCAACAAAAGAGCGGCCCAATTTACAAAAATGACGGGCACGAGACGTGCGCTTGAACTACGGGCACAACGTGTTCCCGAACGCGTTAAGAACGAAACGTCAACAATAAGACTAACAGATCAGACATATATACAGAACAACTAAACACTGTTCAGCTCCAGCCCTGAGATATAGAGGAAGATCTGGGCGCAGATCTGGCCGGAGATCTGGAGGAACATTTAGTGCAAGATTTAGAGGAGATTCGGAGGAAGATCTGGAGGAAGATCTGGAGGAAGCTGTAGAGGAATCTGTAGAGGAAGATCCCGGGGAAGATCTGGGGGGAGATCTCGGGAAAGCTCTTCAGGGAGATCTGGCGAGGTATCTGAACAAGATCTGGGGGAAGATCTGGGAGAACATCTGGTGGAGATCTGGTGGAAAATCTACGGGAGATCTGGCGATTGATCTGGGGAAGATCTGGGCGACGATCTGGCGGGAGATCAAGCTGAAGATCTGGAGGAAGTTCTGGCAATATATCTGAGAAAGACTTGGGGGGAGATCTTGAGGAACACTTGGATGAACATCTGGGAAAGATCTGGAGGAAGAAGTGGGCGAACATGTCGAGGATCAGTTTGTAGACGATCGGAGGGAGATGTGTACGAAGATCTGGAGGAACATCTGGGCGAAGATCTGGGGGGATATCTAGGTGGGGGATCTGGAGGACGTTTTGGAAGAAGCTCTGGCGGAAGATCCGGGCAAGGATCCAGAGGTTAAGAAACTGGGCCAGCTGTTTGAAATTCGGTATTGGAAATTGGGAAATTTCGAGACCCAGCTTGGCGGGGGGGTGTTTCTGACTAGAGGTTAGGAGTGTACTGGCAAAGGCTGCCCCAAGACAGGAAGAGTCTCCAAAGCCTTTTCGGGAGAGCTCGGTGGAAGCATCGTGTCGAAGACGGCAGCAAGGCCCCAACATGCCCCATACCTACCTCTCAGAAGACCCCAAGAGGGCCCCAAGAAAAACCTTCAAGTGGCACTCAGGGAGTCCTCCAACGGAACGCTGCGCTTCTGTATGCGTGCATGCCCGAAATGTATCCCCCATGGAAGCCCCAGGGAATCTCAAAAACCCATTGACAGTCCAAGACAAACCCAAGAAGTGCCAATATAAGACGTGTGTAAATCTTGGTACAAGCCGCCTGCATGTATTTCCAGGCTGAGATGTGAGGCGAGTTTCGCGGCAGACAGCTGTGTACTTTCTCCAAAAAGTGCTCGCGCCAAGGAATGTTCCTTCGTCTCTAAAGCACTCGGCATGGGACCCCAGGAACTTCCCGTGGCCACAAGTTGTTCCCGTGGGTTGTGCACGAGCTTTCTGTGGCCATAAGTTGAGCCAATGGGTTGCACCCCATGTTGCGCCATGGGCTGCTGCGCATGCGGTTTATTGGTTTTCGTTGCAAGCAAGGTCCTTGCGTTGCATTGCTTTGCACCGCTTTGCGCTGCTGGAATTTCTTCGCATCGCTGTCGATGTGTTGCAAATGGCACCAAGCAATTCGTGCTCGCATGCTTCCGACATTGAAACTCATAGGCATTCTCCCCAAGGACTGCTTGCACCTAAGGACCCGCCTTAAAAAAAAACTCGAAACACTGGGTACTATACGATCTCGCCCACAAGGTCCCGGAAGAGCCCGCTCATCGATCCCCGGGCCCCGTCCACGGGGTGGCGACCTGGGAGCCTGTGGGTGTCATAAGATCTCGCCAGTAGGCCCCCTCCCGTAGCGCTCCAGCCTGGGAATTTGTACGTGAAGCCGAGGGCCCCACCATTCGTAGGGTGGCAATCTGGGATTTCTTGTGGGCCGTAGCGTCCCGCCCACAGAGTACCGCTGACAAAGTAACACGGGGCTGCAGCATAGATCGCACCACATGCATCGTATCACATCGATTGCAGCATACAGACATTAGTTCGACTGTGCCACGCAAGCTGCATCACATAGATGTACCAGACAGATCCCCATGCAAGTATACCGCCACACAGACTGCATCACATGGATTGCCCCCACAATGCTTAACTGATTGGTATCCACGCTGACATGCTTGTTATTGAAATTCACGTGTGCACCGTCCATCCTGTAGACAACAAAAAGAGACGAACGATACGTCCCCTGTTCCCTCCTTCCGACCTTGCCCTGGTACGCACATGCGCCTGACAAATCATCCCCACGCCGGCAAGATGCAACCGCAAAGAGACGCAATCGACGCTCGGGAAGACGGCGAGCACCTCGTAGAGTCCATGACCACGCATATTTCGCCAGTAGCAATACATGTCGGCCTGCTCCTCGGACCACGAAGATAGCCAGGCTTTGGGGCAGAAGTTAACACTTGAACGGCCATGCGAAGTCTGGGAGAACTAGCCAACACTTTTTCCTCGATTCCCACTTCACCTGTGAAAAACAGGATCTCCACACTGTGCCAAAAACCATGAGCGAGTCAAGGATTTCAAGCGCTTCTTAATGTGGGACCATCTTGGGGAATCTCGGGTGCCTCCCTCGGCGCCGTCTTGGGGGCCTGCGGTGCCGTCTTGGGCCATCTTGGGATGTCCTTGTCCCGCTTTGTCAGTCTTGGTTGTCTCTTCGAGGTCTATTGGGGGCCCTTCGTGACTCTCTGGGGCCGCCGAGGGGCCATCCTGGGCCGATTTTGGGCTCAGCTTGGCTCGCTCGAGACCCAGCCTCACTAGCCGGGGACGAAATTCTGCCGGATCAAATTTCTATGTGTGGTTCAAGTGGTTGTCTCAGTACAGCTAGATGTTGGACTCCAAGGTCTACCTCTTGTGAAAAACGCTCGTGCGGGGCCCTATTATGTCGGACCTCACATCGAATGGAGAGCCGTATCGTATGGGGCCCTAGCATGCGTGACTCTGCAGCGCCGGACTCTGTACTGTTGGACATTGTCGTGTGGAGCCCTACCGTGTGGCAATCTGCTGTGTGAGATCTACCATGTATGACCCTATCGCAAGGGGCCCCTATTAAGTGCGGCTTTGTCGTCTGGGATCCTATTTTGTACGGCCCTATCGCGTGGAATTCGACATATCCTGTGAGACCCTGCCGTGATGGGCTTTTCGTTTGGGACCCTGTCGGAAAGGGACCCACCGAGGGACACAATCACACGCCCGTGTTTGCGGGCATTTTGCTTGACCCCTCTCGGAAGCCTTGGGGGGGGGGGGGCTCGGGAGCCAAACGGGGCTGGTGTGATCCTGTGCGGGGCTGTGTGACTCCGTGCTGGCCGTGACCACCGCTCCAAAACACAGCCCCTGTGACGCGAAGAAACCAAACGGCGTCACATGGGATTGGCACCCTGCAGAAAACTAAGAGAGACCGGGACACTGCGCACCGCCCGGAGTCCTAACACGACAATGTCGGACGCTACACGTCGGCCCCTACCGTGTGAGTACCGATCGTACCGGGCCAAATCGTGTGGCCCTATCGTGTAAGACTATAGCTTGTGGGGCTCTTTCGCGCGGGAGCCCTATGCGGGACCCTATCTTGCCCTGTGGGATTCTATTGGAGTGGGGGGCCCATCAGAAAGAATCCCACCGTGGGTTCAACCTATCGAATGCAATCTATTTCTGGGCGCCCTGATAGGGCTAAAGAGGGGCAGTGATGCCGCATACCGCCGCGCACCACAAGAGAACCCGCCAGCTGGGGCATCCTGATAACGACCAATATGCGAATCACCGAAATGCGAACCGCCAAGTCCAGTCACTGTTATGGGATCAAATACACATCGTATGGACTTGCAACTTAGCGAGTTGCCAAACCCCTTGACACACCATCAGACTTACAACACGCATAATACGAAAAACCTGGCCGGCGCAAGCTTTACACCATCTGCCTTGTCCTAAGAGTTATCTACTGCTGTTATAGCATCTCCAAGGTGCCCAGTCGCTGGCGGCACACTTCCTTCAATCTGTAGACGCCACGAGTTCATTCTCGTCGCCGATTTCGGTCGGGCGACTTTCCCTTGCTGTGAGCCAGGCGTATGCCATCACAGCTGTACAAACAGCTACCGCGCTAACAACTTTCAAAATGGACAAGCACTGCGAGGCCGCACAGTCACAGAAAAACAAGCTGGAAAGGAAGAAGAGACCTGCAGTTTGCACGCACTTGTTTATGCCAGCACTTACTGCCCCAGTAGGGCCAATTGAACATGTGTAATAGAAGGCGAACTGGTGCACACCACAGATAAGGACATAGAAAGCGTAAAGACCTAAGCATGAGATGATCGACATGTCAGGTCGAAGATTTGCAACGACCAGCTGATCCCAATTCGGCATGACGTACAATAAAAAGTACACTCCAATAATCGACACCTCCATCATTCCCAACATCTGTGCCAGAACCAGCGCCTTGGATACACGGATGTCCCAAGGTTTCTCCAATAACACATTGGCTGCTACGTAGACCCCCGCCACCAGTAGTGTGGCGATCAAACCTGCAGCAATTCCTTCTAACTGTACGACCACGTTCACACCAACCAAATGTAGCTGCGATACAGATGCCAACGCAATGGCGCCACAGATGCATGCAAGCGCAAGCCACCGGTTTAAAGACAGTTTCTTGCCAAGCAGCGCGTGCCCAAGCAAGGCGTTCAGCACCACAACAAACGAGTATACTAGTTGGTACATGCCGCTGCCAGACTTCTGGATCGCGACTTGGGAGAAGAAATTGCAACCCAGCTCTCCAATCACGATCGGCATGGCACACAGAAGAAGTCTTCGGTCCCAAGCCGACCAAGCTTCGCGGTGAAAAGCAAGGAAGAGAAATTGACCGAGTGGATTACCAACGGCATTGATGAGGTTAGTGGAGTTTCTGGCGAACCCAATGCGATCAAATTCAAAAGCAAGAAGCGTCTGCGCCATCCCAGCAAGCACGAACGCGCCATGCGCACACCAGAAAAAGCGGCTGCCAACCATTAGACCCCAGTTGAAGGTATATCAAAAAGCAAAGGGATAACTGAATACATCATTGGCCTCTTGCGCAATCGGCTGGCACTGCCAGATGATCGAGCCCAAACAGGTGACACAGCATGGCCATTTGCCCCAAACATTGACTGAACAATACTTGGGAATGAGCCTAGATTGATTCGTATGTGCCATATCGTTCCCCTCGGACGCCTTATGAATGGGGGGGTATCGACTCTACCCATTTCAGTTTCCTCTCGGCAGAACTTCAAACAGCTAGAGTAGTGATTTGCTGCTCATCCTACAGTTCCGAGTGTGGGGCCCGATAAAGCAGGAGCCTATCACGGGAGACCCGATCGTGCAGAACATTATGATGGGGGACTTGGTCGTGTGGGACCTTCTCGTGTGGGAAATCGTGCCTGTGACGCTGCATTATTCAGTGCCCCAATGTGTTGGACACTGTAATGTTTATCGGCCATCGTACCGCAGGCACTCAGCGGAGTGGCCTCCAGCCCCCTTAGACTTCTCGATCCCCGGACCCCCACCTATCAAGACGCCTGGACGCTCCTGAGGTTCGCCGCGGGACATTTCCCTGCGCCCCGGGAGCGCGCCTGGGAGTGGACACTTCCAGCACGCTTGCCTCAGATGGCCCGCCGGGCCCGCCTTGGAGAGGTCCTGAGGGTCCCTCGGGCCGCCGTGGGGCCCCTCAGGGTTGGCTCCAGGACCCCAAAACCACATGAGACCTTCGCATGAGTGTGATGCTCTCGCGCGTTCGGTAGAAAGCCGTGTGCACATGGTGCCATGCATTGTTACACAGTGGCGTAGGTGAACACTCCGTGGATCAAGGCAGTGTTCAACAATACAGCATGTACTTTCGGCCTGCGCCATACTATTACATTGGAACTTTTGCACGTGCGAATGTGGTGCCATATGATATGCGGCGAGCACGGTCACAGGGACGCACAAACGGACGCACACATGCAATGGGGTACCATACAGTGCCCACATAATTGTATCGGGATGCCCTAAACATGCACATAACGTCAACACGAGAACAAGTGTGAGAGTACGTAAGAGCCGATGGACGTGTCGACACACACGCATGCCACACGTGTCACAACAATGAACGTTGGGGGACACGTGTGACCGCAAGGAATTCCACTACACATGGTGCGTGCTGGCTGACTATCTTGGGGCGATTCTGAAGGATGTCTTTTCAACGGTGCCTGGATGATCGCGCATTCACTCGTCTACACGCAGGGGTGACCCTGGGTAAGAATGACCTCTGGTGCGCTGCTTTCGGGGGGGGCGCGGGGGCACCAACACACAAGCACGCAAGCAAGCCGCTACTGTCGCATCGCGCTCGGCGATTGAGGGACCCCAATGGGCCCGCACCAAAGGCCACTCCTGCGAAAGGTCACTCTTTAGAGGCCCCATAGATGGGGTCCGAGTAGATGGGGTCGAAGAATCGCGCCGCATCGTCAATGTATCGCCGATGCATCGGCGACGTCAGCGATGCATCGGCGTCGTCGGCGTGGTGAAACACGGGCTCCACATCGAGCCATATCGGCGATGCATCGGCGATGCGCCGCGATCCTCCGACCCCATATATATATATACATACACATACATATAAATATGACATGATAGGTGTATGTACATCTGTATATGCATGTGTGTTTATATGTTATGACTATATATATAAAACATTGGAGGACAGTCGGCCCGTATCATAACGATGCGCGATAAGGATGCAAGGGCCTTGGACGCCCATTTCGAATATGTTTAAGAGCGTGGCGCAGTCCACGAAAGCGGCCAGGGATGGACGCACCGAGGAGGCAAGGATGCAAGGGCACCCAAGGGAAGGCTGCCTATCCTTGGCACGCGAGCTGATTGTGGCCGATGCGCTGCCATCGCATGCCTTCTCCTGCGCAGCCCTGCCCCGCCCTGCCCCGCCTCACCGAGCCTCACAGGACTGCGCAGGGCGCCAACCCCTCCCCACCAGCGCCCACCACGCGAGGAGAGCGGGCCGCGCCAGGGCGCTGCAGCTGCCAGAGGTCGGTCCTCCTCCCCCTCCTCCTCCTCCTCCTCCTCCTCCTCCTGCTCCTCCTCCGCCCTCCTCCTCATTCCAATCCCTCCTCCACCTCCTTATCCTCCTCCTCCTCCTCCTCCTCCTCCTCCTCCTCCCTCCTCCTCCTCCTCCTCCTCCTCCCCCTCCTCCTCCCCCTCCTCCTCCTCCCTCTCCTCCTCCCTCTCCTCCTCCTCCTCCTCCTCCTGCTCCTCCTCCTCCTCCTGCTCCTCGTCCTCCTCTTCCTCCTCCTCCTCCTCCTCCTCCTCCTCCTCCTCCTCCTCCTGCTGGACCCCGCGGCAACAGGTCTGGGCCCGCCCGTTCCCCTGAGCGGTCTCGCGACGCCGTGGTGGCCTGGCCCCTCCACCCCTGGGTGAGCTCCACCGCAAGCCCCCACACCAGCCCCCATGACGCCGAGAGCCCTCACGGCCAGGCCCCGCCCGCGGGGACCACCCCCTCCGTCCGCAAGAAGGAAGACCTGAACGCGCTGGCGTTTGCCCAGTACGCGTGCGGCTTGAAATGGGCTCGCGTGTGCAGAAGCCCCATGACTCCGAGATGCACGGGCATGTACGCACGGGGCCAAAAAGCTGTTATAACACCCTTGAGGCCGAAACGAGTTAGGCATTCAAAAATACGTGACCGAGCAAGATGCTGTGGCAGCGAGGGGGCTGACGCAATGTGGTCGGAGGATGCCGTGGTAATATGTGAGCAATGGACAGACAGGCAAACAAGGGAGAGCTAGCGCAAAAAGTAATGGCAATGTACTGTCTCGCTCCTGGAGGCCATTTGGTTCCTCAAGGGATTACGTGCGCCCTGTGCGCAAACTACTGCACAAGCAGGTTGCCATCAAAGGCTCACTTTCAAGCGAGCGCTAATGGAAGGAACCTGCCCATATGACCCACAACACAACTCAGTGGCCTTTGCTCGAAAGGATGATGTAAGCGGGACGGGCAGATATGCACTGGCTCGGGAGAGAAACAATTTGGAGAAAGCGTCCCAACTCTCCTCTGGGCTCTTCTTGATGTGGACCCCGTCGTGCCGTGCAGACTCGAAGCGCACAACGCGAACCCATCTTTCGGGTCCACCATCCTCCCCAGCCATTGCTCAAGCCTGCGATCACTGTCGTGCTGCGGCTCCTATCTCCGCTTTGTCTGCGATCCCGCGTCAGTCGCAACGGCACCAAAACATGATCAAACCATCATTCTTCCTCTCTACGAGCAGCAACGAATCCGAAGCAAGAGTACACCATGGCATACGATGCCACGATGCGGACGGTGTTGTGCCCGTCAATGTGTATTGGCCGATGCGAGAAACTATAACGTGAAAGAGCAGCCGCTGCACCTTCCAGACCCACCCTCCTCAACAGGAGTTCCATTGTGGACGCCCTCGTCCAAGAAGATCCCGACCGAAATATGGGTAGTGAGAGTACGAGGAGCGTGTAAAAAAGAGGTGCAGACAAAAGGATATATCCAGAAAGGACGAGAGAGAGAGAGGAACACAGACTGTGGAGGAGAGAGAGAGAGAGGGCGATCGAGGGGGGGAGAGAGAGAGAGAGAGGGAGGAAGAAAGACTGGGATAGACAGTAAGAGAAAGAGAAAGACATGGAAAGAAATGGCCATACAGGGGAGCGCACAGCATTAACTCATCTCAGCAGTGAGCTGACATGGAGGAACAAGAAAAAGAGAGAGAGAGAGAGAGGCTGAGACCGAGACAGACAAAGAGAGAGAGGAACAAAACGGAGAATGAGAGAGAGAGAGAGAGACAACAAAAAACGAGAGGGGGGATGAGTGAGAGAGAGGGGGGAATCGAGAGAGGAGGGAGCCAACCACAGGCATGCCACAATCGCCACTGTGGCTCAACCCTACCGGCGCAGCGCAGGCGGGTCGACGGGGCCCCGCAGAGCCAAGGTCGACTGTTACTGGATGAACGTATAAACAGGTTGCCATTTTTTCCACCTATCGGCTTGAAGGGACGCGCCTGGATGGGACGGGCGAGAGGCTGGCCTTCTCAGAAGCCCTCCAGCTTCCCGAGAAAACCCATGGAGCTCCCGAGAGGGGTTCTTAGAAGGCGGGGGGGGCCTCTGAGCCTCCCCGCCTTCTGGGAAAGCCTCCCCCCCCTACAGCGCACCCAACACAATAGACAACACTGCTCGCCAACCCTCAGGCGCAACGTTCCCTCGCTCCCACCCTTCCTGGCCCAGAAGAAGGCGACATCGGTGCGAGGATGACAGCAGAGACGGGGTATCCTGAGAAGCCGACCCACGCTCCGCTCGTGATTTGTCATCGAGGCTCCGAGTGGACAGCTCCTGTGGGCATGGTGCAGCTCCGAACCGTACTGACATACGGGTTAAGTCGCATCACTCGCCGCGGCCACATGGATGGCATGGGTTCAAAACGCTGCGCAGGGAGCATGAACCTCGAATCATGCAAGCCAGATCGCTTTTCTGAGAAGGTCGCAGCGCCCCCCTGTCCGGTACTGTTTTCAACGAAAGGGACCGCTGTCCCCGGAGCGGGAACCGTGTGCACTTCTGTTTGCGGCGGCTCTTGGCAATTAGGGGCTCTTGGCAATTAGGCTCTTGGAAATTAGGCGGCTCACGAAGTGAACCCCACCCTACCCCTCAGAAATCGTGGGGTGTGGGGGGTAGGGCTCGCATGTGGCCACCTAGAAAGATTGCGAAAGGTTCGGGCTCTGAGCGCACCTGTGCTGTAAACGCGACCGTGTTTGGACCGTTGCTCGATGGACGCGAGGAGGTCTCGAGCGGCGCTCCCCTCCCCCGCCCTGGATTGCACGGAGGCCTCGAGCGGCAACCTCTCCCTCGCTATCCCCGCATGGGGCGCCTGGACCAGGGCAAGGGCAGGGGAGCAACGGGGGACGATCAGGAGGAGGAGGAGGAGGAGGAGGAGGAGGAGGAGGAAGAGGAGGAGGAGGAGGAGGAGGAGGAGGAGGAGATGCCCGCTCCAGGCTGCCGCCTCAAGCTGGCCTAACGTCAAAAAGGAGGAAGGAGGAAGAGGGACATCGGCAGGAGCCTCGCCTGCAACGCTGTCGACGCACATGGGGATGTTGGGTGTCGAACAGCTGCCCGT